CTCTCTCTCTTTTTTTTTTACATTTATTTATTTATTTGAAAGGCAGAGTTACAGAGACAGAGGCAGATAGAGAGGTCCTCCATTCTCTGGTTCACTCCCCCAAATGGCTACAACAGCTGGAGCTGAAGCAATCCAAAGCCAGGAGCCAGGAGTTTCTTCCAGGTGTCCCACGCAGGTGCAGGGGCCCAAGGACTTAAGCCATCTTCCACTACTTTCCCAGGCTGGAACAGGGAGCTGGATCAGAAGTGGAGCAGCTGGGACTAGAACCAGCGTCCATCTGGGATGCCAGCACTGCAGGGGGCGGCTTTACCTGCTATGCCACAGTGCCTACTCCCATAGTTTCTTCTTTTTTCAAAAACAGGATCACCCCATACATAAACCTGCAACTTTCTTTTTCTACTCAGCAATGTATCAGAGAAATTCTTCTATACCAATGAAAAAGAACCCCTCCCCCCTCTCTCTTAAGCCTACACAGTATGCCATAACAGGTGTCACTTATTAACATTTTTCCCCCAATTTTTTGCTATCACAAACCATCCTGCAATGAAAATTCCGTACATGTGTAGCATTGCTTGAGTATCTCTCTAGGAAGGATTCCTGGAAGTGGAATTACTGGATCTTGAGTTGGTGTACATGAAGTGTTTAATTTGGTACATACCATTAAATTTAGAGTCTTTTGATGCACAGCGTGAAATGATTTCTTAAAAATCAGTCAATTACCAGAGCGGCCTGTCTCCTTTCTCTTTTTTTCATGGGCTCTGATTGGCCGGGAAACCAGCCTCCACTTGCTCCCTGCTTCCTGCCTGTCGCTGCAGCCCTGTGATCAGTGTAGGGTTGCCTGACTGCAGGCCCTTGGGCAGCCCTCTGGGCGCAGGAGCCTCGGCGGCTCCAGTGCCTGCAGTCAGCACTCGGGGCTCAGAAGGAGCCACAGCTCAGATTGGCATTCGTTTTCTCAAGGGCTTGAAATTGAGAGCAGGATTGCAGCAGTTTTCACTCTCCCTAATGTTACTTTTTGCAGAATCCTGTTGGGCAAAACAGATACTCAACTAAAATCAGATCCTAATGGCTGTGCTGGGTGCTTAACATCTCAGGCCGTTGTAAATTATTAAACAGTTCTGCATTTAAGGAAGAAGACCTCGCTCAAATTCTCTGCAGCTTTTCATTCAAGGCCACATTTTTTTTCTCCCTACACTGGGTCATGGTGAGTCACCTGCTCCAGATTTTGGTAATAGGAGATTCCCACCCTCCCGGCTCAGCACATGGCGGTTAAAGCACCAGGCACAGCTTTCTGTAGGTCTGCTTAATAAAGTAGATACAAGTGCCCCTGCCCCTCTTCTTCTTAACTTTTCTGTTGTGAGTATTCATGGAATCTGGATCTGCCAGCTACTTCTGTTTGAAGTTGAAGACTTGGCAAAATTATACATCCAGCAGGCAAGAAATAAAGTGGAAATGTCTCACAAGTAACAGTAAAATCTGTTGTGTTGTTTTAAGACTTAACTACCGAAAAAAAAAAAAAACCTCTACTAAACATTGTCTTGGCAACCATAAATATATTTTAGCAATGATAAAGTCTTTGGAGTAACAGTTAAGAGGTATTTGGCAATGTCTGTCTGTCTGCCACTCTTAATTATGTATTTGCATCACCCCACTCTTCATTCCACGCTATGTAGTTTTCCACTTGAGTTCCTACACTTAGTGTTTTACATGGCCCAAGCAGCCAACTTTGCCCCTGCTGCTTTTTGCTTAGGTAAAATTGAAATCAAGTTGACTAGATCAATTACAGCAAGTCAGATTTGAAATCTTGAAAGGTGCATTTCTGGCAGGGGAAGGGAGCCATGTTTAACCTAGGGGTTAAGACTCTGGCTGAGACCTGCCTCCCCCATTGGAGTGCTTGGATTCAGTGCCCACCGCTGACCCCTAACTCCAGCTTCCTGCCAATGCAGGCCCTGGGAAGCAGCAGGGATGATTCAAATAAATTTGGCTCCTACCATCCACGTGGGAGACCTGGATTGAGTTTAGGACTCCAGGCTTCACTCCTTCTGCCTGGCCTGGCCCCGCCCCGCCCCGCCCCGCCTCAACTACTGCAGGCATTTGGAGACCGAACAGGCCAAAGGGAGCATTCTCTCTCTCTTTCAAATGAATATATATATTTTAAAAGACAAAAATGCAGCCGGCGTTGTGCCTCACTAGGCTAATCCTCCGCCTTGTGGTGCCAGCACACCGGGTTCTAGTCCCGGTCGGGGCGCCGGATTCTGTCCCGGTTGCCCCTCTTCCAGGCCAGCTCTCTGCTGTGGCCTGGGAGTGCAGTGGAGGATGGCCCAAGTGCTTGGAGAAGCACCTGGCTCCTGGCTTCGGATCAGCGCGATGCGCCGGCCGCAGCACACCAGCCGCGACGGCCATTGGAGGGTGAACCAACGGCAAAGGAAGACCTTTCTCTCTGTCTCTCTCTCTCGCTGTCCACTCTGTCAAAAAAAAAAAAAAAAAGACAAAAATGCATTTCTACTCCAAAAATTTCAAATTAAACAGATCTCTAAAAACTAGGTGGTTGTTTTTTCTAGGTCTTTATAGATAGATCCTTGTGATCCGTGAACTACTACTACCCCTGACGTTCTAAAGTTGCACTGGGCAAACTCTACTTTTTATCTCATTCTTCTCCCCATGTACAACCACGTTTATCAGCATTTCCCCGGCTGGCATTACTTTTATTCAACAGTGCTTTCAGAACTATTTTTATTTCCAAAGTTAAGTACAACGGCCCCAATACATGTGTCACTGCCTTAATGCACTTTGCTTTTTCATTTCTCTTTATCTACTCATCTAAATATATTTCCCTTACATAAATGTCCAACACCACTTGAAGGTAATTTTCTTTCCTAGATAGCAATGACCTTCCATTTCAATTAATAACTTATTTTGAAACAGCTTACTGGGTTAAGGAGATCGATCCAGTTATACTAATTTAAGATGCATGCTTTTACGATAATAGTGCAGGTCAGTTTGAGTTTCCTGAGGGTTACGTTTCAGAAAGTCAGCTATGTCAAAGGCAGCTGCCTGCCTTGGGTACTAGCTATTAGAAAAACTGCATTCGGCAAAATCCTTGGTTTGAAACAATATGAACACAAGAAGGGTGGGTTTGCATTATTTGCCTCTATTATTGTATTATTTAATATGTCCTTAAATACCCGAGTTGTCACCGTGAATAGCTGGCTAAAGATACATCCTTTCACAACACAGATTTCACCCGGTCCTTTCTAAAAATTTAACAAGGTCATTTTACATTCACAGCCAAGTGGTTTAAATGCAAAACGAGCTTAAATGCTACCCTTAACCGGTCCTAAGTCTTCCACTGGGAAATCCTAGAAAACTCAACTAATGAAATGCATCTTCTACTTTAAAATTCTAATTATAACTGTCACATTAAATTGAAGGTGAGAATAAAACTGCTGTATCTGTTAAGCAAGGCAAGCGGTGTACTGTATCATCCATGTTATTTAACGTGCAAGTGTGTAAAAGTCAAGTTCCCCGCAGAAATCCAAGTGCCTGCACTTTGTCTTCTGGGAATGTATAAATTAACCATTCTCCCTCAAGCACTTCTCCTCCCTTCCTCCCCCCGCCCTATTTTAAATGTAGATAGGGCGTCCCAAGTCTTTTGAATTTGAAGGGCTGCTATCTCGGCCCCATTCTTTTCATCATCCTGTTTTGAATGACACTGAGCACGTATAGCTTTCTTTTATAAAAAGCACCCCCTGGATCCGCGGCTCGTTCCTCCAGGCTACTTGCTAATTTTGCATAGCAATTGCTCCTGACTTCTCCGAGTCTGCAACCCAAATATAGCTCGAGAATGTTCCACAGGATTCCTCCAAGGTCTCGCAGAGTCGAACTCTGAGCCTTTCGATAAGCAAACTCGAAGAGGAGGAGCTTGCAAAATGACCAAAATTCCCAATTGGAACGGTCTGGAGAAAGATAAGGTAATTCCAAAAACTCTACGTTAATTCAAACCCTCGCTGCGGCCGGGGAGCCAGCAGCCAGCAGATGCCTGCTTTTAAACTCTATTCTACCTACTCGCTGACCGCGCAGGGCTGGGCCACATGGTCCTCTCCCGCAGCCAGTCAGCTGTGAGCAGCAGATGGCATCATTTGCATTTTTCTTTTTATACTTTCTTCGATCGGCAAATTAAAGGATTAAAAAAAATTTTTTTTACATTCTCATTGTCTAAAATACAAACGTGGCTTGACTGTGGAAACTGGGCGTCCTCGACTCTCCCACTCCCACCCCCAAATCACTGAGACTTGAGAAAACACCCGAGGGGTAGGTTTCGTGTTCATCAACTCGCGATCCGCAGGCTGGAGTCACTTAAGAGTGAAACGAGCCAGCCTTTACCAAGCCTGGGGACTCGTGTGCCTCTATTGTAAGCGCCGGGCGCGGACGCTCCGTGGGGCCGCGCGCACCCGCTCCGCACCCTCAAACCTCAAAACTTCGGCTGCCAAGTAGAAAGCAGATTTTTAGCTCTCAGGCTTGCAACACCCCGCTGGGGGAGTGGCCTGAGCCAGCGTTTCCCAGCGCCGGGGGTCCCCTCCCGCGTCCCGCCAGACTCGGGGCCCGAGGGGGGCCACCCGGGACCCCCGTGTCTTTGTGCCCGGCGCGGGAACACCCGCCCGGGGGCCAGCGTCACGGCCCCCCAATGCCGGGAACCTTGGGAGAGGCGCGGGTGCCGGGGGCGGAGACGCTCTGCACTGTCGCCGTCCCGTGGGGGCCTCAAAAAAAAAAAAAAAAAAAAAAAAAAAAGAAAGTAGAGAAAGAGGCGCTCGGGGGTCTGAGGAGACGCGCTCGGGTCTGAGGAGACACGTTTCCGAGAAATGACTCGGGGGGGAAGCACACGGCGCGCAGGGGGGACATTGTTCCCGGCGCGCCGTGGGTGCGCGGTCGCCGGCGCGGGCCCACGTGGAGCCGAGCGGCGCGGCGCCGGCCGAGCGCGCCGGGCTGCCCGGGCCCCCGGAGTGCGCGCCCGAGCTCCCCGCCGCGGCCGTTCACGCCCGAGCGCCGCCGCCGCCGCCGCCGCCGGTCCCGCGTGTGCCCCGCTGAGGGGGAGGGGCGGGCCAGGGGTGGGGGCGGAGGGGTTGTGGTTCCACTGCAGCGGGGGCTCCTGTGTCCTTGTGCGGAAATGACACACGGAGTCCCGTCACGTCACGCGAGAGCGCAGCGCACGGACACACAAAGAGAGGGGAAAATACACGGCGCCCGCCGCCCGCCCGCCGCCCCCAGCGACTCCCGGGCCGCCCCGGCCAGGCCCCCTCCGCGCGCGGCCCCCACTCTCGGCCCCGCGCCCTCCCCCCCCCCACGTGGCGCCCAAACTCGGCGGCGCGGGCCCGCTCTGCAAAGTACAGAACTCGCGTCCCAGGTAAGTGCGGGGCGGACCGAGCCGGCCGCGCGGTGGCGGCTCCGGGGCAGCCGGACGGGAGCGTGGCTGCAACATCCATGCCGGGGTGGGGGGCGGGAGCAGGGGAGGGGACGCGGAGGGGGGCTGCGCCGAGCGCGCCCGCCGGCGGGGAGCGCCCACCCCCGCGCAGGGCCGAGCCGCCCGAGCCGGCGCCCACGGGCTCGCCGCGCCCATTGTGCCGCGCACCCCTTTGTGCCCGCTCGGAACGCGGCGGCCCCATGGCGTTCCGGGGAGCACGCGCGCCGCGCGGGGGCGGGGGACGCGCAGGGGAACGGTCTGCGCCGCCGCCGCCGCCGCCGCCCCACTCGCGCAGCGCGCCGGCCCCACACCCGCGCCGGGCGCCGCGATGGAGCGGCCGGGGCCGCGCGGTAGGCTGTGCGGAGCCGGCTTCACCGAGCCGGCGGCGGCCGGGCGCTCGCACTCGGCGGGGCCGGGGGCTGGGGACGGCTCGGCGACTGCAAGGGGGTGTCCGAGCGGGAGCAGGGGGCGGGGACTGGGGGAGATGCCGAGCGGGGAGCGCGAGGCCGGAGCAGCAGCGGCTCGGAGGACGCTGCCGCCGGAGCCTGCAAATGGAGCGAGGCAGGCAGGCCGGCGGCGGCGGCGACGGCGGCCGGGAGCGGAGAAGCCTGCGCCCCGCCGCCAGGGGGCGCGGCGCTCCCTCGCCGGCCGTTCCACGGCGGTTCGCGGTTCCCGCTGCCCGGCCGCTGGAGGCGGGCCCGGCGCCTTGGGTGTGCACCCTGGGCTGGCGCGAGGCCTTCCTGGCCGGCCGGAGCGGGAGCCCTGGGCGCTCGCCGCCCCGCGTGACCGCTCCGGCCCCCGCTGTTGCAAACGTGGTTTCCCACGCAGACTTTGCCCTGGCCTTGTGCAGTGCCTATGTTCAGGGCCTGCGTGACCAGAGAGACATGGTTCTGTCTGCTCCTCTGTGCTGGTACCTTTTTTTTTTTTTTTTTTTAACTGAAACAAGGTGTTTTTGCAAAAGTAAACGGATTTGATTGCTGGGGGTGGATGGGGGGACCTGTTTGGAAGCGCTCTGGGAGCTAAAGGCCAGCCGGATCAGGGGTGTGCGGGGCAAGGCGGAGTGCTTGAGTAAGACATGTTGGATTTCCCCTTAAAGGAACTTTTCACTGTTGAACTGCAAATGTTTAAAGCGCCTCAGTCATGCGCAGAGTGCCAGCCAGTGATCCAGGGAATTGAGCCCCTCGGGATTAACTTGGTCATCAGCCACTTCCACTCCCACGGGAGTTTTTTTTTTTTTTTTAAAGATTTATTTCTGTATTTGAAAGCCCATGTTGCAGAGAGCAGAGTGGTGAACAGAGAGCTGTTCCATCTGCTGGTTCACTCCCCAGCTGACGGGAAAGGCCTGGCCCAGCCAGGAAACTGAACTCCACCTGGATCTCCCACGTGGGTGCAGGGGCCCAAACACTTGGGCCACCTTCTGCTGCCTTCCTAGACGCATTAGCAGGGAGCTGGATCGGAAGTGGAACAGTGGAACAGCCGGGACTCGAACCAGCGCCCATATGGGATCCTGGCTTTACGGGCGGGCAGTGGTTTGACATGCTGTGCCACAATGTTGGCCTAAGGTGCTTTCTTTTTCAACCATCCATCCTTAGTTTCTGGTTTTCAAAGAAGCTTTTTTTTTTTTTTTTTTTAATTTTTTTGATAGGCAGAGTGGACAGAGAGACAGAGAGAAAGGTCTTCCTTTTGCCGTTGGTTCACCCTCCAATGGCCGCCGCGGCCGGCGTGCTGCGGCCGGCGCACCGCGCTGATCCGATGGCAGGAGCCAGGAGCCAGGTGCTTTTCCTGGTCTCCCATGGGGTGCAGGGCCCAAGCACCTGGGCCATCCTCCACTGCACTCCCTGGCCACAGCAGAGAGCTGGCCTGGAAGAGGGGCAACCGGGACAGAATCCGGCGCCCCAACCGGGACTAGAACCCGGTGTGCCGGCGCCGCTAGGCGGAGGATTAGCCTAGTGAGCCGCGGCGCCTTTTTTTTTTTTTTTTTAAAGATTTATTTATTTGAAAGGCAGAGTTAGAGAGAGGCAGAGAGAAAAGAGGGGTCTTCATCTGCTGATTCACTCCCCAGAGTGAAGCCAGGAGCCTGGAGCTTCTTTTGGGTCTCCTTCGTGGGTGCAGGGGCCCAAGGACTTGGGCCATCTTCTATTGCTTTTCCAGGCCATAGCAGAGAGCTGGGTCGGAAGTGGAGCAGCTGAGACTTGAACTGGCGCCCATTTGAGATGCCGGTACAGCAGGAGGTGGTTTACCAGTTCCGCCCACCCCCCCACCCCCGCGCCCCCAGTTCTTTAATTAACTTATTTATTAACTTTGAAAGGCAGAGACAGATCTCCCATGTGCAGATTCACCTCCCTCATCCCCGCAACAGCCAGGACCTGGCCAGGCTGACCCCCCCAGCCCAGGCATCTCCTGCTACCTCCCAAGGGTGTGCCTAGGCAGGAAGCGGAGTCAGGAGCTGGAGCTGGGACTTGAACCCAGGCATTCTGCTGAGAACCGAAGGTGTGTTAACCACTCTGCCAAAGGCCTGTGCCATTTTTGGTTTTAAGCACCACACAAGTACCTGTCTACTTAATGCCGGGAGTTGGGCAAACTTTCGTGTCTTCAGTTTTATGTCGTTAGCTTTTAACCCAGTGTCTGCTCACTTAGGCGCTCTGTAAATACTTGCTACATGAATGCAGGGAGGCTCTTGGCTGCGAGAAGAAAGCTGGGGCCAGAGTGGCCAGTTCCACTGATGGATTAGCTGGTGTGCACGTGCTTCTTAAAATCCGGGGATAAGACCAGAATCTGTCACATTAAGAACTGCCACCGAGGGGCCAGCGTTGTGGCACAGCGAGTTAGGCTGCCACCTGTGTCGTCAGCATCCTGTATGAGGGATGCTTCAAGTCCCACTTGCTCACTTCCAGTGCAGCCCCCTGCTAATGTTCCTGGGAAAGCAGTGGAAGGTGGCCTAAGTGTCTGGGCCCCTGCACCCACATGGGAAATCCAGATGGAGTCCAGGCTCCTGGCCTTTCTATTGGGACCAACTGGGGAGTGAACCAGCAGACAGAAGATCTCTCTTCTCCTTTCTCTCTCTGTGTCTCTGTAACTATGCCTTTCAAATAATTTTTTTTTTTTTTTAATAAAAACTGCCACTGAATATGGGATTTCACAGAGGTGCTGCCTCTTCGTTAAAGAAACAACTTAGCAGGAGAGCCTCCTGCTGCTGTCCCTCTCACCACCTCCAGCCCTGGGTGCAGACACATTGTTTGCACACACCCTCCCCTTGGGTCCCTCGTGTGAGCAAAGGCCTGGCAGATTGCCTGCTAATTCGGGAGAGAAGGGTTGGCGCTCACCCTGGCGGAGGCTTGTTTAGCTGAAAACTTAGCATCCTGTAGGGACGCCCCACCTACCACTTCTAGAGTTATCTAGAAAACCCCAGAGGCAGTGAGGAAGACACTGAGATTGGATGCGTGGTGGACACTGGGGTGGAAAGTTTAAATGCTTCAGATTGTTGCATGCAGAAAGAACCCGGTGAGTCAGTAGCCAGGTAGCAAAAATAATTTGGTGTTAGGGGCTGGGAGGTTGCTTTGCTGTGTCCTTTCCTGGCCCGGAATCTTGATGACAAGGGATGAGCTATACCCCTGATTGGCCGAGGTGCATTCCCATCTTATCCCATCTTTGGGATGGGGCGGAGCTTTGCTGTACCCTCTTCGTGAAGTTTACAGGGCTATGTACCTGCATGGCCTTCATTGAGCTGTTCGTCCCCAGGGACATTTGGGACAATAAACTCTAAAGTCACAAGTTTACACCTGTCCCCAAAACGGATCCTTCTCTCCTGCTTCTTGAAGTTCTTTCCCCTCCAGACTGACAAGTGCGCCCCGCCCTTTCCGACTGTCTCATGGTGCTGTTATTTCAGCCCAGAGCTTCCGTGGCTTCTGGAGTTAGCTCTACAAGTGCCCTGCACAGGCCAGGTCAAGGGCTCCCGTGCTAGCACTGGGGCTGCCTCGTGCACAGGGGCGGTTCATGCATAGAATGCAAGCCTATGGCTTTTGTTTGAAAATCAGACTGTTGCAAACTATTTTTTAAAGATTTATTTTGTTTATTTGAAAGTGTTAACAGAGAGAGAGAGGGAAAGAGATCTTCCATATGGCCCAGCTTTGACTGGGGCTGGGCCAGGGCCAGGCGGAAGCTAGGAGCCTGGAACTCCACCCGAGTGTCTCACAGGTGTGTGGGGGCCCAGGGACATGGGCTATCTTCTGCTGCTTTTCCCAGGTACATTAGCAGGGAGCTGGATCAGAAGTGGAGCAGCTGGCGAGGGGCTGCTTACCCCACTGCATCACAAGCCAGCCTCTACAGACTGTTGATTTAAAGTATGAGTTTTCTCAGCAGCTCCCCTGATACCAGGCCCTCCCACCATGTTTAATCCAACTTGAAACCCACACGCTTAAAGTGAGCCTCTTCAGTTTCTGTTCTCTCCCACCAGCCACATCTTCGCTCCACTTGTCTGAAACACACTTCCACCCTTATCAGTAGGGACGTGGATTGCACATCGCTGGCCTTAGTTCCTATGCAGGGAGCTAGTGAAGCCAGGGACCAGGCTTGCTCACACCATGTTGTGGCCTGAACTCTAATGAGCTTGTATAGTTGCAAGACAACACTCATGCCGGCATCGCAGAGGAAGCCCTGCTTCTGGCTCCCAGGACACTGAGTGGCTGCCACTGTCCGGTCAGCCACGGGGTGGCTGCTGGGATATGCTGGCCCTCACTTTCGGACGCCCAGGTGAGGCCTACAGGCCCGGAGGACCTCAGTAGAACCCCTCTGCTGGGGGGAGGCGTCACCCTCAGCCAGCGCCTGAGGGTCAGGTGGCAGACCTCCGGCAGGCGAGGCGGCGAGGCGGCGTGCCGGAGAGGCGGCTGTGTGCCGCCCGAGTAAAGAAGGCAGGGACAATTACAGCTTTAGAAAAACAGGAGGAA